GCCTCCGCGGCTCCCGCGCTCCTCGCTCCCTCGGTCCCCGCGCTCTGGCAAGCTTCTCTCCTTGAGCCCTTCTTTCTCTCCCTCTCTCCCTCCCTCCCTCCCTCCCTCCCTCCTTTTCTCTCTCCCTCGCGGAGTCCCTCCCACTTTTCTGGTTTAAAGAATGCTTGGGAGGAGCGGCTGCAACCCTAAGCTTTCCAAGAGGCGAAGTCAGACTCGGCTTTTTAACCCTGTCCACCCTGGAGAGAATTACAGAGCTCGGGGGATGCCCCTGCGGGTGCCACCTTGACCCGGCAGCCGCCTCTCTGGGTCTCCGCCCTGACCCCGACGCTTAGGGCTGATGCCGCCATCCGAACCACGAAAGGCGATTTCCCCCGTCTGTTTAACGCTGTACTTCCAGGCGGGAGGATCAATCAAACCCCGAGAAACGATCGAAATGTGAGATTATAGGTTAACAATATAGCAAAGCTTTCAACCAAAATGGCGTTATTTCTAAAGCAGACAACCCTTGGTGATACCGCCCAACCCCTCCGCCCTCGGAGGTTTCCTCGTCCCGTACCTACTTCTTAAATAAACTTTAATCAGACATATAATCCAGAGTTTGACATGATAATTGCAAACGTCGCCACTTTCTCCCATCACCCTGGCTACTGCTTGGAAAGAGCGTAGTTTTACGTCCCTGTAGGTTACAATGGACAATCAAAAATTCTGCTCCAAAGATTGAGGAAACAGGCTGGACAGCTAAAGAAGTCCGACGCTTCCGGTTCGCAATCTCTTCGCAAAGGTTAAAGAGGAATCTAAGAAAAGGCGGTGTGGGGGTGTCTCATTCTTGGGGGCAGCGGGTCTGGTTGGTTCCCCATTTCCTCGCTGCGAGCCCAGCCTCAGTAAATCGCTGTCATGTTTTAACAAGTTCTGGGAGAGGCTGAATCTGAACGGAAGAGGGAGAAAGAGCCCACGTCTAGCGCTGGGCTGCGCCAAGAAGCGCTCTCGGTGTGGCCACGCAATCCGCAAGTTTGAAAGCAGCCCAGGATCAACACCCTTGGGATCGCTTTCGCTGGGTGGAAAAGTCGAGCTGGGGCGGCGCCTGCAGCGGGCTGAGAATGATTTCCGGACGCGTCCCTGGAGCGACTGTACTCGGGGTGCTCAGTTCAAAGCTTGAGTACTTGGCACCACTTTCTGGATTGTTTTTTATTTCCTGAGCACCCCAGTCGTCCCTAGTGCTTTCATGTATTCGAGCGCCTACGTCAATTTAAAACGACTTGGAGAAACGCCCGATTGTCTCTCAAGCCATGCTTGGATCCACCCAGAAGCGCGCGGACACACGCGCTCACATGCGCACACACTAGAATACAGCACACTGCTCCAACTCGCGGAGGCCGGCCGAAGTTTCCACCGCATTGTGCAAAGGTGACTAGAAAACGCAATGACTTACATATGCACAGCCCTCATCTCCCGAACTGTGTAATAATAAACATGCAGGGGAGAAGGGCCCGGCTGGGGGCGCTAACCGGAGGGGAGCCGTGAGTGCCATCTTGCCGGAGGTTCCAGGAGCAAAACGCCCACGGTGACAGCCGCAGTGGCCTCAGCCTCCACCAGCCACAGCAGCCGCCTGCGGGAGCCTCATGTGCTCCCAGAGTTTTCCAGCTTCGAGTGTGGGTCTGTCCCGCCCCAGTGACCCTTTTCCCTGGCGGGTTCTTTTCCTTGGCTGGTGCCGGGTTCTCAACTTGGCACCTTGATCCCAGGTCTGATTATGAAAGAGAAGTGACCGCACTGGCACCGAGCTGGACTGGTCAGCGGGGCGGAAGGATCTTTGGGGGAGGCCCTGGGCCCCAGTTGGGGAGCGGTTGCCGCTGGCTAGGCCTTCATCCGAGGCCCCGCTTTCGGCTCTGGGGGCGTCGCCCGACCGCCCCTTGCGTCCCACAAACGCGGCGCGAGGAATGAGGCTGGGGTTCAACCTCCCGAGCTCAGCGCGCCTTCGCCGCCCCCTTCCTCCGATCTGGAAGGCGCGAGGGGCCAGCTCCGTGACCCCTAGCCCCCGGAGGACCGTCAGGGTTGAGGAACTTGGTTCGTGGAAAAGAACCACCCTTCCCCCAGCTGGACGAAAAACGAATTAGCATCCGCTGTATCATTTTAGCCGCTAATCTATCCAGGATTGCGGGCAGGGGGCGGGATGGTGGCTTTAGATATCACCGCCTGATAACGCTGGTGGCATTAAAAGCAGATGAGGAAAGGGAGGTTGTTACTCTTGGAAGTTCGGAGATTCATTCTGGGAAAATGAGCTGCGAGACTCCTACAAGCTTAAGGTTTAGATCCATGCGCTTAGCTGGCGAGAAGGTTTGCTGTGTGACCCAGAGCTCAGTAACAAAACTCCTTAGAGAAGGTGGATTCCACTACAGATAGACGTCCCTAAAGTCAGGGTGCTTCTAAGAAGCCTATTCTACTTTTGGGGTGAGAGACAAAGCCCAGGACACCCCCAACCGGGTGACCACCCCGCACTGGTACAAATTGCCCCAAAGAGGCGGCGGTCAGACCGGGCACTAGAAACTTCCCCTGGCACCGCAGTCCCTTTACCTGGCGGCCGCGTGTCCTCCTCGCAAGGGGCTCATCCGAATCCGACAGGATCGGGGAGGTGGAAGGGGAAGAAGCTGGCTCGGCAGCAGTGGGGCTCCCGGGGCATGTTATTGTTTTAGGGGTCGCCGCCAAGGTCCCTCCTGCCCATCGTTGAGAACTGCCACCCTGGTCCCTGGGTGCGGTGGACCGGGCGGAGCTGCCGCCCTGCCGCTGCTCCACGCTCGGAGCTGGTACCGGTGCTGCCCCGAGCTGGGCCAAGTCGGTGCCTCGGCGCAGAGATCCAGAGCAATGGTGCTATCTCCAAGCGCTGCTTCCTCCGCGGCGACAAGGGATGACACCGAACTCTGAAGTGAAGGCGACAGGTTTCCCACGTACAACTAACTACAAGGTGCCCAGCCCGAGACTGTTCGCCTCTCTCCCTCACCCCCTCCTCTCCCTCCGACCGGGGAGGGAGCTAATTTAACCCTGTGTGCGCCCTGCACTCCCGGGAGAAGCTCCAATCGACTGGGAAACCGCTGGCGGCTCCAGGGGCGAGAGCTTTGTGCAGGAGCGTTTCCAGTGTGGGCGTGGAGCTGTCTGGGGCACTCGCGTGGCAAGACGCCAGTGGCGGGCTTCCAGCGCCAGACTCGAGGATGCGAAGGAGCCCTAGCGTTTCATCCGGACCAGACCCAGCCCTCCTAGGAATCTATTTTTTACCGCCAGTTACCGGATTTATTGAAATTGCCAGCAAAGTTGGGTTTTTTCTTCGTTTATTTCTCTATCCCCTCCACCCCGCCCCCTGGATTACTTCTTTTCCTTACTGCGCTTTGAAGGTTGGAACTCTTAGCTGATTCCAGCTCTAGCTTTTAACTACTATTTCGTGTGCGAGGCGAATTGTGGAGAGCCCCTCCCACCCGTGCCAGATTTAAATGAAGCTCCCAGGAAAGCTGCCTCCCACCTGCCCAGCCAGGGCACCAATAAAACAAACGACAAAAACTCAACTAAGGAAGACACAGTCAGAGAATGGAGATGAAGACGCCAAAAATCCGGAGGAGAAGAAGGAGTTGAATGTGTGAATGGGAACGCAGAGAGTGAAACACTGGGTGGGGAGAGAGGCCGTCCGTAGAATGAAAAACGAGAACGCAAATGAGAAAGAAACAGAACAACTAAGTCCCAACATCAAGAAGCAGGTCGGTTTTAAGCGCTATGACTTTAAGTAACAAAAATTTCCCAAATCCTTCCGCAGAGGTTTAAGCAAAGACTCTGTCTGCCACGCATTTAGAAAATAACACTGAGCAAGTGTTCTGGACTCCCAAAGAGTGAACTGGAGATGCAGGGAAGGCATCTGGAAGATGAAGAAAGAAATCCTAAAAAGAAAAGTGCCCCTACAACGCCCCTGCTGTCACCGTCGCTCCCAAAAGAGCCCGGACATCTCTGAGTGCAAACGCAGATCCTTTTCCGTCTCCCTTCCAGACTGAAGAAAGAAGAAGCCTTTAGAAAGTTTTCAGAAGGTGACACGTGGCTTGTGCTGAAACTGGTTATTTTAGAAAGAGAAAGTGTGCTTTTCCACCGGATAGATGTTCTAATCTCCCTGCAACGCACTCAGGACAATGAGAGTCTTAACAGGCACCTCAGAGGTCGCTGGCAGCCTTGGCCGCCCAGAACGCCAGGGAGAGCTGCTTTTAGCCCTCCCTGGGAACAATTCCGTTGTAAATCCTTCTAGTCTGCCAAGGTGGCAGCAAAGCATAGGGATGCAGTGCTTCAAGCTCCGCGATCAAAAGGGAAGACCACATTTTAGGACAGATCTTCTACTTGTCTTTAAGCATCTGTTTCCTTGTGTAAGTGTACACAGTGTCTGCAGGAGGTTCTTCTTTTGAAACCTTGATCTGAGTGGACAGCATAATGATTTCATTTTTAAAGACACATTTCTGTTTCGCGGCACAATGGAACCTGTACAGGTTTCGCTTTCTGATTTACGCCGCGGGAGGGAAAAATGAATGAGTCCCAGAAGGGGGGAGGGGACGGTCGAAAAGATGTAGAATTTATAGTTTCAATCCGTGCTGTTTTTAAATTATAAGAGAAACGTGTTGCGAATATATTTTCAGTATTAAAGGATATCTTGTAGGTATTTAATCGGGACAAAATTTTGAGGGAAAAACACACCAAATGCATGAAGGGAATCATTGAAATAAAATTTTTATCCACATGGCCCATCTGAGTCAGGTTTAGAAGTCTGATAGTGGGTGCAAGGAAAAGAAAGAACAGAAAACGTTGTTCAAGGGAGCCAAAGTGCAATAATTTTGCCGACTCATAAATTGATAATTTGATTATTTTCATTGATAAACTGGCACTAAGGCATAAAGAAGTGGGCAGAGAATGAACAAAAATCAAATTTGGAATATTAAAAAAAGAAAAAACAGAGGTTGGCTTCTTAGTTATATGTAAGATTTCAGTCCTTAGAGAAGTTTTCATTTCAACTGAAACCAAAGCCTGCAGACTCTTTGCCGTCCCTGTAGAGTTTTTTCGGTCATTCCTCAACTACTCATGTACGGCTACACTGGCCAGTCTTTCTAACACTTGGTGAAAGCAAAACTAACATAATGTCTGCATCACAAGACAGCAGCGTAAGCTCAAAGCACTGACAGTTATGATGGGTGTGTTCAGTTACCAGCGACTACTTCTTCATTTATAAAATGGACTTGAATATTCAGGTTCCACAGCCCCTATAGTATCATACCACTGTGAGTCAGCATAGGTGAAAGTGTTTTAAAAATCTGACTTCTTGTTATGATTAATGATATTATTATGATATCGCACAGTCTCAGCCTCCCAAACGTGTGCACATCACACCAATCTAAACCTTGTCAGCTTCCCCTAGTATTATCATCTTGTATTAGCTTGGAGTGTTTGTTTGTCAAAATTAAGAAACAAACATCACTGCCTTTCTCCTAACCTCGGACTTTTCATAAGCCACAGACTTTTTCATGTTTCATCATGTTTTCTACTCATGTCTCTTTCCAGTTTCAGGACCCATCACACGGCCTTTAGTCATCACCTCTCCTGTGTTCTGTGACAGCTATTTTCCTCTAAAGTTTATGACACTGCAAGTTTTGAAAGTAATGATGAAGCATTTCTCTCTGTTTGGGTTTGTCTGACATCTTCTCATAGTCAGTCTCTAGTTATGGGTCTTAGAGAAAAACTACATCAGGTATATTGTGTGTGTGTGTGTGTGTGTGTGTGTGTGTGTGTGTTTTATTTATTTTTTAGGTTTTTGAGACAGGGTCTCACTATGTAGTTGAGACTGACCTAGAACTCACTAGGCAGCCAGTGATCCTCCTGCCTCAGCCTCCTAAGTGCTGGGATTACAGGTGTACGCCACCACACCCGGCTTCCAGTCTGGCATATTAATGATGTTAACATCACTTAAGATATTCTGTACTATGTTTGTCTCAAATAAGGTTATCTGCCTTTTTCGCACTCTGTTCTTTAGAAGGGAGTCACTAAACCAGGTCCACTTTCATGCATTTAGGATTTTGAAATGAGCAAAATGAGCCTGAAACACCACAGATATGATATTCACTCAGGAGTAATCTCCCAGAGAATTCTTCCTATGCAGAATTGAAGAAAGGCCTCGAATATTTTGTTGTGGAAAGTGGTGGTCTGTCTACTTATGTTGAAGCCACTTTTAACTAATGTGTGTTTTATTAATTCCCAATCCCTGTCATTCTCCAAATCCTGTTGATTCTTTTGAAATGTTCCTTCTCCTCTAGTTCCCTTTTCCATAGCTTTCCATTAGTAAGATGCTTATTTCATTCTCTTTTACAATAATATTATCTCTGCATTGGCCTCAGCAAGAACTTGGTGTTTCAGAGAATTAATTAAATTTTGCTCACCTATTCTTGAGCATCCAGTACAGCAACTTTTCACCTGATAGACAGTCAAAATACACTCGTTACTGTTACAAATGAACTTCTCTGGTGAGTAGAGAGAAGTGTATCCTTTCCTTGAAGGTGAGGACCACTGTGAGGAAAGCCATGGCTGGTGCAGTTTAGAGAGGTGGTTTTCCTTTTCTCTCACGAGTGGAAAACACTCCAAATCTATGACATTCTCTTTGTGAGTATACCTTGACTTATGTGAATCTATGACAGAAATGCATATCCTTCTGAGTTCGAAACATCATGCTACAGTAACCCATAAACCATCTGTAGGAAACATAAAACATATAGCCAATTTGATGAATATGTCTAGTCTCAATTCTGTCAAAATTCCCAGTCTAGAAGAGACATATAGACACATAATTATATGCTCATTGCAGAAATACATTTTTGTATGTGAAAAGTATTTAGTGCCCCAAAACAGATTTTATTTAGTGAAAAGGCCTAGTTCAAGTGATGATGAGACTTTTTGGACAATATATTGATTTTTGCAAGGTATTTTGTGACATTATTTTTGTTTCCAGCCTTCTGCATACAGCAGCTTCAGCTCCCGGAATCTTCTGTCTCATGGAAAGCCTTTTAGGCCAAGAAAATCATTGGAAAATCAGTATGTACATAATTGCTCGAATATCTATTTCCCCAGATCTTGGTTTCTTTGCCTTTCTGTGCAGGTTACAAGATGATTATGCGTGAACGAAAACAGAAGGTACATACTGACAGGAAACAAAAGCACTTTAAACCATGGAGATTTCCTCTTCCATAAACCTGCCGTTTGTTAAGTAGTTGCTCTCTGTTCCAAAGGGAAGCGGGCAAAATCAGATGCAAACACTCTCCAGCCACACTGAGGGGGACATGGAGGGAAACGCCTTTTTATAGAGTGTAAAAAGAGATGAAAGATCTACCCTGGGACTTACTCGGGCTTAGATACTTCCATTGTAGAAAATGTTTCTGTATCTAAGTTTAATGCTTATGAAGAGAAGCAACACTTTAGTCTGAGAAAATACATCTAATTGAATATTTAAATAAGCTTTTGCCCTAAAAATGGCATGCATTCTCTCC